CTCCGCCCCATGTAGCAAGCTACTTTAATTGCTTTGTTTTAGTGGTCCCCTCTGAACAGGAGAGAGGCTGGGGGCTGCAGTTTACGAGACACATCTGCAGGTGTTGCATTTCAAACTGAGAAACTCAAGCTGTGAGAAAGACACATGCACTAACACAGCCACACAGATAGAGGAATATAAAGACAGACTGGCAATTCCGCTCTCTCACACACACACTGCAGGTGCAGCACTGTTCAGTACTTTCCTGCATGACATCGAGCCTGAAAATGCTGGAGAACCTGAGCAAGGTGAAATTGAAAATCTCTTAACATCTCAGAATCAAATCAAATGGATGTACATGTGCAAAGATTTTAAATATGTCAGTGTCAGTAGGGTTCCCAGGCCTTGGTGATGAGGTCAGTTTCCGACAGAAAGAAAGTGTTCTTATGGCAGGAGGCTGTGGCCCATCAGGCCATGTCTGAAACAGTTTGATCTGGGGTGGGAGGGGTCGGCTACAATCTTTCCTGCTCACTCAGATTCATGGAGGTATACAGGTCCTGGAGGGATTGCAGTCAATAACCTTCTCTGTGTTAATTTCTAGAAAAATACTGACATTAATTTGAGACAACGCAAAATTTATGACAAGACAAAGCTCGGGCGCTGTATACTGAGCAGAGACATGTCAGATCCAGAGAAAGAATGTGCTTATCAATGGGGCTCCTGCGACGTGGCTGACGCTTCCCAGGAGGAATTTCACACTAAAAGTCTGACAGAGCCATAAATACCACAAACTAATGTGGCTTAGGGTCATGTAGGTTTTAGATAACCTCTCCATGGCCGGAACTCTTTGTGAAAAACTACTTTCTTGTTGCCCACTCCTTAGAAAATAGCTCATACAGAACTATTTTCACCCGTTTAATTCAAAAACTCTCGTAGCAGTGTCTCTAAGAGAATCAAATCTGTTTGTTACAGCTGAGAGTCAAGTAGTTTTGGAGGATCTTGGGTAGCGTGTCTCCTAATTCACTGAAAGAAAGAGCAATCAGATAAGCTTCATATGGCATCCGACAGATTCAATATCCTTTTTTCAAGCATCTCCATTGTAATGTTCCCACACACTGGCGTGCATGTCGCGTCGCACACATTTCTGATAATCTATGCAAATAGGCCACAGATGGACAAGAATGTATCTAATTGAGAAACATATGTGTTGCACTTTAAAAAAAAAATTCTTACATCTCCCATTGCTTTTTATTCCAGTCCTTCCTTCCTTCATTCATTAAGATCTATGTGGTGCGGCAATGCTGGCGTCTTGCCACACCATTTGTGAAATTATTCAAATGAGGACACCGTGTTTCTTTTGTTTACTGCCTTGAATGGCGACACGGAAACAAGGTTGGAGTATTCATGAACGTCATTTCTCACTCTCACGCTACAACTACCACCTCCTTCTCTCTCCCCCTCTCTGTGAATCCTGCTGCGGCATTGGGGGAACGTCCAGGGCATTATGAGATGCCATTAATGAGTGTGTGGCGTGGCGTGGCGTGTTGTGATGCGCGGCATATTACAGCCATTCATCAGAGCTGGGAGACACTTGACAGGCGGACAGCCAACAGGTTGTGTAATCATATAACGCAGCCATGTCAGGCCTGCCACAGCTCCGTGTCCCATTCAGGCCTCTAATGTTATTTTCCTCTGGGTAATTGACGGCGCCAGACAGAGAGACCCAGTGATGGATAACATCATGGGCCGACCGGTCTACAAAGATGGCGGCCTACCGAAGTGATGTCATTTCAGATTACATCAACATTTGGAGAAATTTAAAAGAAAAATGTTTCAAAATTCCGGTTTATTACAACTTGGGTCTTATTTTCATAGATTTGGACATCATTTCTATTGTTTGTTAAACCTTTGTATTAACCTTCCTAACAGTCACATTTCTCATGTCTCACATTTTAAATATCAAATAAAAAGATATTACGATACACATCATTTATTAATCAAGTCTTTATATTTATTATATTATTATATTATATTATTATAAAGTTCAATCAGTGCATAATGTTTCCAAAGACAGTAACAAATCATGTTCACATAATTGTGATCTTGACCAGAATAATCAGGATCATGATTTTTGTCATAATCGAGCATCCCTAATGCATCCTGATCTAGTCTGGTTGCACGCTACATCCATGTATACTACTTATTAGCTTTTAGGAGTTGTAACTGTGTAAAGGGGCAAAATGTTATCCAAATCACTTAAATAAAACCATAAATCTAAGTTACTGCATTAATTATACCCCAACATGACAAATTAAGCGTGTTTCTCTGGTAATTATGGTGTACTGGGAATGCCATCTGACACAAAGGAATGTGTTGCAAATATTCCAACTCCTCTGCACAACGCAACTCTCAGCTGCATCAGAGAAACAGAAGTGGCCCTGAGGCAGCGTTAGACGTTGTTAAGGATAGCAAGTATCCTCACACAACCTGTTCTGCTCTGTCCCTAAGCTGGAAAAGAGAAGACAATGTTCTCTCTCATCCTCCCACTCTCACCACTTTATACCTCTGCTTGTTTGTGAAATGCCTCTTGCAGCGCGCGCAATCCAAAGAAGGCCAGCTTGTGTATGTGAAAAATGGGCCACAAGATGATAACCACGGTGAATATCACCAGCAAAGATAAAAATACACATTCCGGTCTTTTGAATATCATCAGTCTCCTAAGCTGCCGAGGCCTGAGGGGCAACTCCTTAGAGAATGAGAGTCTTGATTAGACTCATGTTCCCTGTCCTATCTTCATCCATGTCTCTCACCCTCTCTCTGTTACAAACAAAATGTTGTATAATATCTACACACAAAGCCCTTCTGCACATCCCATAGACACATTTACCTCAGAGAAACTTTACTCCGCGGGGAAAAAAAGAATGAAGAAGAAAATAACATGAATGAACAAAAATGAAAGACATAAGGCATAGATGAAAAATCTTGTTTAGCTTGTTTTTAAGACGGACTATCCCTCGATATGAGCAGCATATCCGGCTGTGTATAACTTTGATGTAGGTTTTAATATAGCTTGACATTATATTTCAGCCCCCCCGCGACCCTGTACACAGGATAAGCGGTTGACGATGGATGGATGGATGGATGGGTGGTATTTGACACACTGATAACACCACCACAGCACTACAGCAAGTGCTATCTACATAATCCCAGTGGCCCTGAAGTGTAGTTACATTTTTGAGGCACTCGTACATGAGCAACAGCGGCTACTTGCGTATGCTCCATAGCCAAGCCGTAACCCTTTAGCGCAGAACTATAAATTTCACCTTTAGTGTGGACACAACACACCGAAGGAATCCGCCCAGCCATTACACAGTCAGACAAACACACACACCCTCCCTCTCCCCTCAATCTCAACTCCATCGCCTCACAACGGCCACAGTGTTCAGTTTCAACAGTGGTCACACTATGTGGTGCTAACATTAAAAATGCATCCAATTAAAGCTGCAGGGGAAAATACTCCTCTGTAAACGGCAACAGTCTGTAACATGTTTGCAGCAATGATAGGCTTTCTAAACAAATTAAGCCAGAGGAACTCTACATTACTCATCCTGGCTGGCTGTCTGGCTAAATTCTGCCTCAATTGCACAGTTGTTTGATCAAGTGTGCGTGTGCTGTGTATGTGTTAATGTTAGAGTGAGAGAAAAAAAAAAGATTTGCATTTGAAAAAACAGATTTGAGTCCACGGATACCAGTCGAGATGAATACAGCAGTAGTAGCAGCAGCAGCAGCAGCAGCGAAATGCAGTAAAACTTGTCTTCCCATACTTTCATGTGTCCGCAGTTGCGTGCTGTCACATTCTGCAGCTCTGTTCCGTCGGCTGGCAGCGTCTTTCTTTCACTGTGCATTACTTGTCACTCCACCGATGGTCGGCGCGTGTGTATTTGTGTGTGTATGTGTGTTAAACCTGTCGCTTTCTCTGCTCTGACGACCATGTGCTTATCGCTTTGGCTGATCCCTGTTAGTCGTGCATTTGTGTACAGTATCTGTGTCTGTCGGCCTGCACATACACGCGCCATGACGCGCATATGTGTGTGTGTTTGTGTGCGAGGCAGATGTTCCCCAGGCGGTGCCATTGCTCAGCGTTCATACACCCCGCACTAAGGAAGATTAACCAGCACTTTATTTATCCATTTGCTTCCTGGATCTGCACCCACCCACCCACCAAAACCCTCCAGTCCTCCTTAATCCCTAGTAGCAAAGTATACAGGAGGAAAAAGACAGCGTCAAACTGGAGCTAGGTGGCGGAGTTTTGCATCACTATGAACCTACTTTTAAGATAACTTTTCTGGTTCGCAGCAATGACAAACATTTTAAGTGCACATGCAGTCAGACGTTTGAATGTGAACCACAATAAGCTCACAATAAGCTCTTGTAGGTATGACGTTTCACTGGGATAGTGCAGTGCTAATTTATAACAAATTACTGTAATATGCTTTTCAAACTCTACTTAGTCAGAATAGCAAAAAGCCAGATAAGGGGCCTATAGTTAATTTGGGTTTAGGATTAAGGTTGGAAATAGGGTCGGGTTAAAGTAGGGTAAAGTTGAAATCTACAGACAGGGCTATGCTTACATAGTCTAGAAATGCACTAAATCGGTAAGGTACACTTGCATATACTTTTTGTCTCTAGAAATCTGCGTTAGCACATGAATCCCTTTCCCCTTACCCCAGTTTTGCATCTGCCTACTGTTAAAACAGCTTTGTTCTATTCTCTATTAGTATTGACACTGGCCAGGGACTTCTCGTCGGGGACAAACTGGATTTTTTACACAGAGCCAAACAAGATCCTGCACAGCTCCCAGTTCCTCCCCAGCCGCCAGCCCAGGAGGGTCCAATCAAAACCAGCCACATTACTGGGTCGCTTCACCATTGCATGCCAAGTCTGCTCCATGTCAGGGGGACAAAAAAAAAGGACTAAACTAAAGACAATCGAACTGTGGATTAAAAGAAACATCGGTTTACCTGTGTGAACTTTGACCTTGGTGGTACCGCCGTTGTGGTCGCCGCCCCCTCCCCCACCCTGCCCTTCATGTATTCCTCACTCTCGGCCCCTCACTGACCCCTCCTTAAGCGGTGATCTGAGGGGAAAGAAGACAGAAGAAAAGACTGTTAAATTTCTTTTAATGGAATGCCAGGGAAAACCTGGTTCAGACAGAGGACAAATGTATCGCAGAGAAATACACGTGTTGAAAAATGCATGCAGGAAGCCATGAGGGAGTTTGCTATACTGCCCCATTTACTCTACCTCCTAACTCTGCCGGAGAGCCAATGAAGCAATGAAAAACTTCACCACCTATCACACTGCTGTGCCTGTATACTGCAGCAGTCCTCTATAGCACCCCCCCACCCCCCATCACCCACGCGACCCCACCCCCCACTGCACAGGAACAATGTCCTTCCTAAAGGTTATCAGCAGCCTGGCTCTTGGTCAGCCCTCATCCTGAGTCCATTACGACACAGGAGCGAGATTCACTGCCTTAATACACCTCTCTTAGTCTCTCCTCACTGCTTCGCTGCGTTCTTTACAGGCTGATACAAATCCAGTGTAGACCCAGAACACACATAGGCTTTTGGTATTAACCTACCAGCCATTCTGTGTCTAGACATCTGCAATGCACTTCCGTTTGATTGTTGTAAGTTTCCTTACAAAAACTGTGATAAAATACTATATTACTCAGCATATTACACCAGCCTGATTAAAAGTAAGCCAAGACTTTTTTAGCCATGCTAGCGGTGATAATACCATCATCAGTTAAAAAATTATTTTTGTCCAATATACCTGTAAAACTAATAGCATTCCCATCAACTTCAACTGTACTTTGTGTTTGTAAGTGCTGCTTAGTTTAGCCTGTTAACAGGCTTAACATGTTATTAACAGGCTAAACTAAGATGGTGAACCACGTCAATACAACATGCTAAACATCAGCATCTTAGCACTGACACTGTGAGCAGGGCAGCATGCTGATGTTAGCATTGAGCTCAAAGCACTGCTGTGCCCAAGTACAGCCTCACAGAGCCTCTAGCGTGGCTGTAGATGTTTTACATTTTGGACGACAAATTAGGCTGAAGTGCCACATTCAAAAATAAGTAAAAATACATTTAGTAAGTAAATTTAATAGATTTTCTTTTTAAACTGTCCTTTTGGGCTCAACATCTTCTAACTTGACAGATAACATAACTATCAGACTCACTGTACAAAGACATCATTAAGGCTACAAACACCCCATAATTCAACACTCTCTTAAAGTTACAAGCACACTCACACACTCTCACTAACTCCAGTATGTGCACTATTTTAAGAGAAAAGTCAAATTGACACGAACAAATAAAAACTACAAGCTCTTTTTATTGTATTTCTTACTATCATTTAAGAATTTTCATTAAAGATTAAATAAAAATGGATGTAAACAAAGACTCGTCTTTACATTACTCTTGACAGAAAAATTATTTTTAAAAATGCATACGACAACAGGGGCTAACAATTCATTCCAGCCTTTCTCTTATTGTCTTCTGGCAAAGACAGTCCCCTAGGAAGACACACCACTATCTTTTCTCTTCAATTGTTTCATCACTTACAATCTACACCACTGGTGCATGTAAGCTACCTCTGCTTCAGGCTGCCCTCGTGGCCATTTTCCAAGAGGTACAGTATATCTTGGCACTTATCAGAGTCGAGGAAGTTTTGGCCAGTGGGGCGCAACCATTTAGACAAAAATATGTGAAAGCAGTTTTAGTACATCTTTGTCTGCCTACACCTTGGGGGCAGTTTATCTTTTTAAAACGCAAAGATCAAAATCAAGGTTTCCACATGCCAGGACTTTGCTGAAGTTATGACACAATCGAGGTGTTCACAAGGTTGAAATATAATATGAAAGTTGACAAAAATCAAGACAAAATCTAAAATATATCCTATTATATTTGGAAAACAACACAGCAATGGTTTAAACAGGAGGTGTGTACGGATGGAACGGGGACCCCCATACAACTTAACACCTGCTCATTCATTAAAACCATGAGAAGAAGTGAGCATACTGAACAACATACTGAGTGAAAGAGGGGGCTGATTTTGGACTGAGGCCAAAACGAAGAGGACAGGGTGCAGGAGAAACCTATAAATACGCAGGGAGGCGAGCAGGTGTCGCAGACAAATGTGATTTACAGGGTCTATGTCCCGTACAGTGCTGACAGGTGAGCCTATTAGGTTGATATTACCCAGCTATATCATGCACCAATAGACCCTCTTAAAAATGTGCGTGTAGCGAGTGTGTTAAGGTTATGGGTTTAAGAGAAATATTATAATATCACACTGTTAAGTTCGCCATACAAGTTCTAAAAATTCAATTATATTTAAAACTGATTTTACATTACATATTTTTTTTAAGGTGGCGTCATTTAGCGACCATACAGGAGAGCTATAGGTTGAAAGAAAAACAACAACATGGTTTTATTACAGCACAGATTAGACTGGATTCCAGTTTAACAGCAATACTGGGCCAATGTTTTCTCTGAAATGACATCATGCTTCAAAGCCAAAGACTGCGAGACAGAGCTAAATACTAAGATGGCAGTGCATTTCTGCATATTGGAAACTGCCAGGGAGCAATCACTGAAGAATGCAAACGTTTATGAGAAACTAAATGCACTAGAACATCGAGCGGAGATCTGCAATCGAGTTTCACTTGTAATACTGCATGAGAGACACGAGACTACAAGGAAATTGCTACCACTTGAGCGGCACACTACAGATTGTGTTGAGAGCAACACAGCACAAAGCAATGTGTTCCTTAATAATGTGGTGAATATTGCAGTGAAAAGCTGAGTGCTTCGTACTTGCTTTGGCAGACTCGGCAGAAGTGTGAACTCTTTCATCCCGGATATAAGAGGCTGCGGTAAAATCCTCAAAGAAACTAATTGTGTTAAATTAGGTTTGTGTCTGTATCTATGTGTGTGTGGGCTGTGGGGGGTTGTATAGGTGCCTCTGAGAGACTAAAAATTCCTGTCACCCTTGAATCTAAACTCTGTGTCAACTCTCCACTTGAGCCAGTCGTCTCCTGTTTCATAACCGTGCTAGGTATTACTCTTTAAACACTTCAATCCTGGTAATCGTATCTGATGATGTGGCTGCTCATTGACTGAGGTAAACCAATTTTCTGCGCAAAGTCTTTAAAGTGATTCAAATGCTGGAGATGACAAAGCCCAAGTTTGCCTGTTAAAAGCCCTTAACACCACAACGTTTACTTTAGCTTACAGGGGGGAATCCTAGTCTCAAGCGGCTGCTCAACTCTTACAGACAGACTAACTCACAAGCGCACATCCTCACGTATAGATACACACACACACACACACACACACCCCTTATCATCCAAGGTTGAGGAAGCAGGAGAACTATAAAAGCCGACCTCATCTCCTTAAAACAGGCAGGGCTGTCCCTGGGCGTCTTAACACAACTCATCAACTGTTAAACCAGAGAGAGAGGCAGAGCAGTAAAAATCAATGCCCCCCAACACGGCAAACAGCAGTCAATGATGTTAGGTGGAAGAGGAAAGAGCCAGAATATGCAGCAGTGTCTTGAGAGGTAAGGAGAAGCAAGCGGGAGGGAGGGAGGGAGGGAAGAAGACCATGTTGGACCAAGTCCATGTTAAGCTAAAAGCGGTAGGCTAATATATGTAATTGATTACCTCTATGCAAATAGAAGAACTCTAAAAACGAGAGAATGCAATTTAAAGCAGCAGAGTCTATGAAATCGATTGGCGCTGTGAGTGAGAGAAGCCATTTCCCTCTAGCCAAGATAAAACACTTTACTAGGAGCTGTCAGATACTTATCAGGAGGAAATTAGCAGAGGGATACCATTTTCCCAAAACAAACAGGTCAAGTGTTTCTCCTCCTCAAGTGGTCTCTCCCTCTCCTTCACTCTCTCCCACTCTGATATCATCGTCTGTTATTTCCTCCCGTTTAAATGCCAGCAGTGAGGAGGCTGGGGCTGCATTTCATTCAAACAGATCATTTGTAATAAAAAAAAACCATGCAGCCGGGCCCCGCGCAACTGGCAGGAGCAGGTTGTTGTTTGAAATGGAGAAGATGAGGTCTCCGGTTCGCCTCAGCTCCCGGGAGCGACCGCGGAGTCTGCCAGCGCCTGCATGTACACACTGACGCAAGTCCGTCCTGAATCTCCGAGCCAGATCTCACCAAAACAATATTTGCGTTTTTGGCCTGCAGTCTGTGTTCCTGGCTGAAAAGAGGAAAAAAAAGGAAAAAAAAGAAAAGAAAGAAAACACGCATGGAACAGAGCACAAAGAGATGCGTCAAAGGCAGCAGCCCACACAAGACAGCCTCGCCGGAGAGAGAAGAGGGCAGTTCGGTGTCAACATCAACACCGGTTCTGCAGTCATCGCTCAGCAGGTAATTATGATAACAACGTGTTCCCTAGGCAGGTTCTCTCTGATTTAGTTTCCGAGCACTTACCCTTCCTAAAATCTCCTCCCGATAACATCTGATATGATTACAAAGTCAAGATCCTTTTCGAGGAGCGCCCACTTATATGCCTCTAATTTGGTGTATAGTAACTCTGCCTCTTGTGACTACTCAGGGATGCTTCTCATCTTATTGTGTATGCTTAGTTAAGATGTGGCACCGTTCGGATTTTCATAACATTTTGGAGAATGCCATGACATAAATTAACCTCACCTACCAACACCATCTGTTATTGAGCGCTCCACTGCCTGCCATTACCTTCAATTGTAAACACAGCCTTGCCACATGGGGAAATACATCATCTTTTTGTGTCTGTTATCATCAAGTTTTAACAACAGGAGTTTGGCCCTGAATGGAGTCAGCGGAGTTGACCCTGTGATTACCTCTGCGATGCAGCATTTTCCTTGGCTGTCATCACAGCCGACCCCTTAAAAGCCTGCGCTGCTCTGCAACAGGGCTAGGCTGTTGACATACTGAAGACATTTAAGATAATCCCAGAGATGTCTCTGTGTTTTCCAAGATTACATCTTCAAAGGGGAAATGCGGCCGGCAGGCTCTACTTGAAAGGGAGAGAGATGCGGAGGGCTCTTGTTCTGAAGGAGGGGG